GCTGACCAAATCCAGACGACGGCGAATTGTTTTCTGTCACACATCAGTTCAAGCACCACCGTACAAACCATTTTAATATTTTTTGGAAGAAATAAAACTTGAGAAATCAGTTAAGCCCTCGTCAGGATTTTAACCATGGATCGTCCAGTTGCTGTTAAATATCTAACTATTAATACCAAACAGCAGCAAGATAATTGTTTACATTGTTTTCACCTTAAAGTACGAGTGACGAGTGGAGAAAGATACGAGAATCGATCGTCCAGGTGGTGATCCAATTTTGATTCGGGAACTAGTGCAGAGATAGTTAGGTTTTCAGGAGATAAAATATATAAAAGATACTACCTGAAAGAAATAAACTACCTGAAAGTTTATTTCATAGAATGTCTCTGCTGAAATAAATTTTACATTTTTAAAAGAATCGCCACAGCCCTACAAAATACTTTTCCTTCGCAATGAAGCTCCAAATGTTGTTTCAAACTTTGTTACTTTCGTAGAATAATTCAATAAAAAATAGGGTTGTGATACTGGCATTTGAGAGCGCTCACTGGAAACGGCTTTCGAGGTTGCTTGGGCAAGCTCCGTAATAATGTCTTGCTTGATGTTTTGGCATTTTGCGTCGGACTCCTATAAATGTCGGTTCACTTTTCAAACCGTTGCTACAAAATGTTAGAGTCCTACATTATATTTGAAGAAATTAAATAATGAAAAATCTGCTCATATGTATGTATATTTCTAGCATTGTGATAAAACAACGTTATCTAGAGCCAGATAATTTTGAATGACGTAATCCTACTGCGAATATGGGCATCTGAAATCCCAAATGTGAAATTTCGAATTTGTTTTATGACCGATTTCATATTTTGTAAAACTTTAACGAATTTTTGAGTACCAAACTCAACGATTTAAAAGCGAGCAATGGCAACATTCTACGGGGGGGGGGATCTTTTTATCTCTAGCGTGTTGAACTGTGTATCGGAAATTCTAAAGGTATGCTCTAGTGGTGGCTGATCCTGTCAAGCATGAGAAGTGCGTTTATGTTCAAGTTCTGATTTAATAAATGGTTTTTTTGAGATGACTCAGAATAATATTTTATGAAAATACTTTTAGTCATACGTCTTTTTATATATCACTGCTGCTGTTCTGTTACGGTTACAGTAAACGCTTCATTCTTGCGAGCTGTCTAGTTGCAGTTATTAAATTCTGTCTGTCTGATGTAGCATACGTATCGCTTGAAGTCTTGAAATTCCCTAACAGTCGATATTCCTTCTTTAACAACTTCTTCATATACTACTGTTCAATTTATTCACTCTTCCATTAGATGTCGTAACTACTTATATTACGTGTACTCCTTATCATGTCACAGACATAAGTTATTTATCTAAATTCCATAGTTCAAAATTTATTTAAATTAGAAATATCTAAATATTTAATAATTACCTTATTAAATAATTAAGGCATTAAAATTTTGGGTACTATTCCGTTTTGCTGGCGCAGGCGATAAAGTCTCCAGTAATAATACAGCTGATGCCAAACAGAATATCCTCATTGGTAACCTTTTACGCCTCATTTTCAAAATAAGTCGCAGCCATTTCTTATCAGATGGATTGTTTCTTTCAATACTGGCACACAATTACATACAAGTTTTACCAGACAGTTCAATTTTATACCCTCAGGCCATTCGCGGTAATTAAGTCAGTAGAATGCAATCACACCATTCACCCGAAGGCTAATGTATAGAAAAGGAAAAGTCAAGGGTAAAATTCATCAATCCTAATGAGAATGCACTAGCGAAGGAAAGCACTGCGGTTTTACATAATTTCTCTGAGTAAGCTATTCGTACGAATTGAAATAATTCTTGCATTTAAACTTATATTCCAAACTAAGATTTAACTTGAAACTAATGTAGATAATTTCTGAGAGAATTAGATTTTTGTACCGTTCTTTTACGTGAGATGAGATCGCTTGGGGTCGCGTGATATGAAGCGGCGAATCAGGATGTTGATCTATGAAAGCATAGTAAATTCTAAATTAATGTCGTTTTACAAATTTATTGTCTTTATTTACTGACTTTTTACAAAATTTTAAACGATATTAAAATGTTTATGCCTTCAAAATAAAAAATTCTTAGAACTAACATTCGTTAACATTTTTTATGTGTTATATTGTATGTTGTCGCCAATAAAGTCTGCTTGGCGAGATTTGCGCCGGCGAAACGGAAAAGTACCAAATATTGCAATCCATCGAAAACATTATTTTGAATAAAAGCTTAAAACCTCTGTAGAGTTTGACTTTCTTTGGCAGCATAAACTAGTATCAGACGTCTAACAAGACTTTGAGCGAATTATCGTTGTGTCTGAAATGAACTACAGGGCCTTGAAAAGGTTTAAAACGAGCATTTTTAGTTTGCAGAACTCGGAGCATAAACTCACTTAGGAGCATAGTCACAAGATCAGCAACCACTAGTGGCGATGCAACTTAAAGTAGCAGTCAAATTCAAAATTTAAAACTTAACCTAGTAGTCAAAGACTACACAATTAATTTAAATTTAAGTTGGCTCAGACCTTCACCGGCGTAACAATTTAAATGACGACAGCTTAAATGCAAAACCGAATAACTGCAATCTTATCAGATCTGGCAAAACGATGTAACGGGGCCTCGAGAGTCAAAAGCACGCTCTATATCCTACAATCCAAAAACTTCAGTTTAAATACTCTCTCACACATTTACATTTCTGGTGAGGAAACGGAAAGGAGAAGATAGAGTAAAGGCTGAAATTATAAGTAACTAGTTAATGTAAAATAATAGTAACTTTACCCTTTTATTAGATAATAAAGGTGTAGCGTTACTGTTATGTTGCTATTATTATTCTTTTAATCACCTTTCTCATTTCAGCGTGAAAAATATTTTAAAAAATAAACATTTTTCTGCAGTGCCATAAATGAATCAAATTCCTCCAGTTTTTGTTATCTTCTGTCTGTATCAGCAAATTTAGAACCAGCTATTTTAACTAGGATTTACTATTTGGTAGTTATACGAAGCCAGATAAAACCTGAGTGAAAAAAGCTTCTTTGACTTGCATATATTTATAACTAAGATCTAACTCTCTAACATATATTTTATGTTAATTTAGTTTATCATTCACATTTCATTCGGTAATTTCTAAATAATTGCTTTTGTGGAACGGATATTCAGTTTGATATTCAGTTACTTGCTGCATAAAAAACTTCCGAGTTTCATTAACTATCAAAACAAAAAATTTTTTATAGACTTGTCTGAGCTGCTAGAGAATTTATCTGTTTCATAGTATAGATTACTTTGAAATATTGATTATTATTTATCATAAATTATATCATTTGATTCATAAACATGGTTTTCCACTTTGGCAATTAACAAAATTAATCATAACACATTCTGAACATGCAGAATTCTAGATTTGGCATTTTTTCTAGCCTAGCTGCCCATATGCACGTGGGTGCTTTAAAAAAACAGGAAGAAGTATAAGGGATCTGGAAAAAAAGGTTCGAATAAGGGAGTAATAACAAATAAGTAGGAATGAATATCTATAATTAGCTAGTAATTAATTAATAATTATATACTAATTATAATTAATTATGTTAATTAATCAATAATTATATACTAATTAATAACTAATTAATATACTGATTAATAATAATTGTATACTAATAATGAAAGCTAAATGTAACTGTTTTACAGAACGAGAACCTTCAAATATTTTCCACGATCCATCAAATTTAAAACCCATTGCTGCCGTAATTATCGAAGTGATTGAGTGCACACTAAAGTAGAGGTAATGTTGATGGGAAGCATTATGCATCAAGTGAAACAAGGCGTAGTGTTTTTTAAATTTTTATTAGCATGGCTTGATGAAGTAAAAGAACCACTCCACCCACGGTTATTACACAAGTTAAACCTTGTATCATTAGAATTAATTTGATACGCTACGAAATTTTACTTTAATTACGTCTAAGTGAATGGGGTATTGATCGTAGTTTATTAAATTAGTTCACAGTGTAATTCATTGTAACGTAATTCTTTTTCAAGTTTTCTGAGCATTATTCAAAAATAGTTTTTTTACATTGAATAACTTTTACCTGTTGAATGATAATAATATGTCTGATAACAGCTTCGTATGAATGTACCCCGAGAAACTTCAAATATTTTCACGATCCATCAAAATTTATCTGACAACCCATTGCTGCCGTAGTTATCGAAGTGATTGAGTGAACACTAAAGTAAGAGAGCATTGTCATGTTGATGGGAAAGCATTATGCATCAAGTTGAAACAAGGCGTAGTGTTGTAGCATGTTTAAAATTTTAATCCCATTAGCATGGCTTTGATGAAGTTAAAAGAAACCACATCCCAAATATTCTGGGGTTATAAATTTCACACGGTTATTACACAAGTGTACACCTTGTATCATTAGAATTAATTTGATACGCTACGAAATTTTTACTTTATATTACGTCTAAGCTGAATATGGGGTATTGCAACTCGTAATGTTTATAATTAAATTAGTTTATACATGCAGTGTAATTCATTGTAACGTTAATTTCTTTCAAAAGTTTCTGAGCAGATTATTCAAAAATAGTTTTTTACAATTGAATAACTTTTTAATCCTGGTTAATTGAATTGATAAGTTAATCATGTCTGATGCAATATTAGTAAACAGCTAAAATCGCACGTAGAACAAATCTACAAATAATTCTAACACCAAAAATAGAGATTCCCAGAACACCTATTCCAAGGCTGGCCAGTTTCCAAGGCTAAAATTATTAACCTATTTCAAGGCTAAGATTATTAAATCGATTTGTATTTATTAAAGAGCACGTTTTATCTCTTTATGTCAATCTGATCCAGGAACTGAAAGGCCATATGCCATCTTCTCGGCTGTATAACATTGATCTCGATCAACCGAAACAGGAAGAAATGGCTATCCATCTTCCTCAAAAAATATTTAAAAAATTAATTATAAACTTACATTATCTTCTTCCGCTTTTGCATTTGCCAGTGAAGTCATGCTAGATTATCTGTAGCAGCACACTTATCAGAAATAATTAAATCTGTTAGCACTGAGATAAATCCCTTTGGATTCAAGACATGCGCGGCAGCCGATATCTGATTAAAGTTTTTCTGAACTTGTTAAAAATAAGCTAGTGGGTAACTTGTTAACTTTTTTTGCAAGCAGAATCTCATAAAACAAGTTGGTGAGTTTCCTGCTTCCTTGGTAACATGGATTCCGAGTTTGTCTTAAAAACTGGCTACAGATTATGTTGAAAATATCTGCTTGCGTTTAAAGAAAAGATTCAGCTTCGTCACATTCTTTCTCATTCGCTTAGGGAAATCCTACATGGTCAAGAAAGTAGATCAAAAGTCAACGACCTGTAATTAAAACATTAAGTACCCTGCTCACGACATAAGTTTCTCCTATTATTTAATTCCCTGCCATCCCAACACGCACGTAGGTAAGATCCCACGTAGGGTTAAACGAAAGCAAGAGCTAACCATCAGCAACAGCAAATTTGGGCACGCCCTCAGTCAAGAAAGTTCCTGTAAATTCGGTTTCAGGGAATGATCACGCGACAAAACACGAGACACAAGTCTTTTGAAAAGAACCTCTCCTCAGTAACATTCACGGAAAGATGCTAACAACGAAAGGGGAACAAAACAAAATTTGTAGTAATATAATGGAGAATCATGACAGTGAGTTTCTTCATAAGATGAGATTACTTGGATAATTAAATCTTGCTTCCTAAACAATACTGGGTGGAGGTCCAAACCTGAGTTCAATGCAAATTAATTTCGACTTGCTTAAGATTTTTCCAGCAGAAAACCTAAATTCCAAATCTGTCGTTGATGTAATACTTTTTGATTACTATAGCCTTAAGGTCTAAAGAGCTTGGCAATGAGGAAATGAAAGAATTGATGTAACTTCTAATATCTGGGTTTATGCAAGATTGAACACGACAATAATTAACATTATTACTTACACCTCAATTATTCTCAAATGAAAATCACAGATACAGATCTTTAACGAAATAAACCCCTTAGAAGGGAAGATATAAAATGTAATACTTATCTTTGGCGATTAAATTTAAACAAACCCCTGTACAATGAGTAATTGCAGCCAAACATTGGAAGTAAGGGCCCTTTCAGAAATCCTTCGAAGTTATATGCTTTTCTTAATTGAACGACAATTATATTAATAAATTTTTATATACTATATTGGTATAAAATATAATGGTAAAATAAAATGAGTAAAAAACTCATATAATAATAATATGATGGTAAAATAAAATGATTGCTGAGCAATGATAAAAAATAATAAAATGATCACCAAGTTCTTTTAACAGTATTACTTTTGTGGCATATTTAGCATCAATATTTAGTATTTGAAATGTGCTTTTGCGCTGTTTCAGTATGAATTTTGTACCAAAAGTTTTCATTTGCTCAAATATTTTCCTGTCTTTCATTGTCTTTGTTGTCGCTTCATTGTGGCATACAAACACAACGCAAGAATGCCAGAGGATATTAACGTAAGCTTTATTTTTTAAGATTTCTTTTGTCAAACAGTTTTTTACATAAATTCATGGAGCCCATTTTTTTTTGTTTTAACTTAGCTTAGGCCATTTCTTGAAAAATGCCAAAACAAATTAATATGTAGTTTAAATAAAACAATTCTGTAACATCCCCAATGCAACTTGCTCGCGTGGATTAATGGTGTTGTTTTTCATCTGACCAATTTTCTTCTGATAAATTTACTATATTGTTCAAATTTAATAGAATTTTAATATTTATCTATTATCTCGAGAAAAGAGGAAAACATTTAATGATATTTGATATAGACATAGGTTGATATATTTTAAAAAAAATGTACCATACATCACGCACATGATCTGCATATGCGTAAATCTCATCGTCGCACATACTTGATTATGCGTAATGCTCATCGGCACAGAAGGTATAAAACAGAGGTTAGAAAATCGAATAATGTAGTTGACTAATAGCGGATCTTATCTCTCCTAACAATCCTATAGCTCTCACAATGTGACATCACACTGGTAATGAAGCAGTTTCTGAGTTCCTGCGGCGATAGTTACCACTCCTGTAGTGACATTGTTTTCAGATCTTGGAGAGTTAAAGAAGGAAAACGACGATTTGCAATTGCACTCCGGATAACATTTGAATATACTGCTATAATATGCATGTAATAAAAGCGAAAGAAGAAAACAACATTCATTGAGCAAATCGAGTTACTAATTACTGCCAGTTTTATGTAAATCAATTTCATTTTCCCTTCTTTCGTTGATTAGAACATGTATTTTATAATGTGAAGAAAATGATATCAATATACTTATAATTTTCTCCTCCATACTTCATGCTTTCGTAGTATAATTGGTAGCACACTCGGCGCGTATTCAAGTGTTCCAGATTCGACTCCCGTCGAGGACATTGCTCATTTTTCATGTCTCCGGCTTGAAAATAATCCAATGACTCTACAGTGGCGACCGAACTAAAGGTGGTGAACGCTAATTCGTTACCACTAGCATATGGCGAGTGGGGCCCCTAATCCCCAGTAACCCTTTAAAAGCGGGAGTATATAAGATATTTTCTCCCTCCTTCCAGGTGTAACGGTAGCACAGTCCTCGCGTATTCGAGAGGTTCCAGGTTCGAGTCGTGGAGAGGGCATTGCACATTTTTCACCTTTCCTGCTTCAGAAACACCAAATGACTCTAAACAGTGCTGTAAAAATAGGGAACTGAAAGGATTCGAGAAAATGGTCTCCCAATATGTCTTCACTATGTCCATTCTGTACGGTTTAGTTCTGGAGCTCTAGCTGGGCAGTCATTCCGACTAATATTATTACACTTCCTAGAAAATCATCCACCAAATTTGAAATAGTGATTTTTCCCATAAAAATGTACCGAAGGCCAATTGCACCCTTAAAGGTCAATTGCGCCCTATCTAATTTTGTAAATTTTATTTGATGTGCAAACCACTGGGGAAAAAACGGAGGAAAAAACACTGATAGTTCACTGTTCCTCGAAACCCTGAATAAAGAAATTCCTAATGATTTGATTTATTACCAGACTTTGAGAGTTCAATTCATCAGAAAAAATTCCATATTTAATGTTAGATTAATGTTTGACTCTGCACCGTAAAATCTTCCGTATATCAATCTATCTCGAGAAAAAAGAATTACCAACTGTAGGTAAGAAGATAAGAGTTCACATATTTTCATCTTTGAGTACGACAGTGACAGAGTTTGAAAGGTGCTAAAATATAAAAGTGGATCAACTCTGACCATTGAAGCACTTGAAATTCAACCAAACTACCGTACAATAGCGATGCCAACTACAGGTCATAAATAAGTTACGTTATAAGGTATTTCTTCCACTTCCCTAACGCGCCTTCGTGGTATAACGGTAACACGCTGGGCCGGTATTCCAGAGGTCCGTGATTCGATTCCCGGCGAGGGCGGTTGCATGTTTTTTATCTTTTCTGCTTCCAATTAACCTAGTGATTCTACAAGTGGCGCCCGGGCTAAGGGGGTTGTGGATGATGATTCTCCGCACCAAGGATTTGGCGACTAGGTCCCCTAAAACCCTAGTCGCCCTTTAAAAAGGGGAGTATATAAGGTATTTCTTCCACTTCTCTAGCGTGCCTTCGTGGTGTAACGGTAGCACGCTGGGCCGGTATTCCAGAGATCTGTTGTTCAATTTCCGGGGAAGGCGTTGTTAATTTTTCATTTCTCCGGCCTCCAAATAAATCCTAATGTCTCGACAACGTAAAAGATTTGATTTATTACTGTGGTGATAGTGATGTAAGAGAGGGGCAAATTTTAATTGGAAATGATTATTTGAACCGTATTTTAACGAGCAAAACACATCTTTTGACAGAATGTTTAATGTTGTACTAACTCCTTTTGAAGTAAGCGCTGGGTTGAGATAGAGCCATAGTGTCAGCAAATTTCACCATAGGAAACTTCGAGGGGTTGTTATATAAGTTGCGGTTAAAAGCGGAAGAAAATTTACCTGAACAGATTTCATCACTTGGGAGATATCTAGAGTTTAGGGGCCACTAATTGCCCGTCGAAAAGGAGTAAGCGCGGTAAACACATAATTTAGAAATTTGAAGATGATTTGCAACATATAAACGTGAGGTATGAAGCGTGTTTATTGTGGAAAAGGAGTCCAGAGAATTTGGAAAATAATTTTGGTTAACGAAAAGGCAGTTCGAAAGACCGCTACGAGAGTTAAAAAATGGCAGCTTTGCGAGAAAACAGTTATGGCGCAGACCGACCCAGAACTTTTTATGGAGGTAATTAAATATCAGATAAAAATATCGGTTTGTAACGAAAGTTTTCGGCCTGCGCAAATATCATCTGCGCAAACAGTTCGCGTGGGCGTGTTTAGGCGTTTGAAACAAAGAGACTTACGTTAAAAGACTGTATTTGTAAAAACATATCATTACCATTAAGTACAAGGTGTCTGAAATGGAACTATCCCGCTACCAGATTAGAAACATCATTTACTTCCAGTTCTGTTGCAAAACGTCAGTTACAGAACGTCAGCAAATTATGTATACAGCTTTAGGTATAGCTTTAGGCACTAATGTTGTATCATATACACTGTGAAGGTTTTGTACCGAAGTTCAAAGACAAGGACTATAACTTTCAAGAAGCAGAGCGCTCTGACAGGGCTACTGTTGCTGATGAGGCCCGCCTGCGAGAACTTGTGGAAGAAGATTCAATATGTAACCACTCGAGAGCTTGCTAAGGAGTTAGATATTGGTGCCATGTCCATTAGTAGCGCTATGCATCGCAGAAACGTGACGCACAAATTCAATCGATAGATGCCTCATGAGATGACTCAAGCACATAAGGATAGACGTGTTCGGGCTTGCCCTAATCTGCCCGAATACGAACTAAGGACAAAATTATGAACCCGATCGTCACTTGTGATAAAACATGGATTTACTTCAACAACATAAGCCGAGAAGAGGGTCGGTCTGCGCCCAGTGAGGCCATCGGCA